ACGCGGGGGGTTGGGAGTGGAGAAAATGTTGGGGCAGGTGCTGCCCCAGGGTCCTTTGTCCTTCCTGTTCACTTTCTCTTGCCTTTGTTTCCCAGCTGGTGGCAGGCAGCGTGGTGATGGCTTTCGAGGAGGTATGCCCAGAGCGCATCGACCTGATTCACAAAAACTACCGGAAACTCTGTAATTTGCTCATTGACGTGGAGGAATGGGGCCAGGTGGTCATCATCAGCATGCTCACCCGCTATGCCCGCACACAGTTCCTGAGTCCCACCCAGAACGTGAGTAGGCCAGGATCCCAGCCAACCCTGACTTAGGGCAGAGCTAGTAGGTGGATCACCTAAGGAAGGTGCCCACAGGTGCTACTGTCGCCTCCTCCAGGAATCCCTGCTAGAGGAGAACCCTGAGAAAGCCTTCTATGGCTCAGAGGAAGACGAGGCCAAGGGCACTGGGTCTGAGGAGGCGACTGCCACTCCACTACCCGCTCGAAAGCCCTATGTCATGGATCCTGATCACCGGCTTCTGCTACGCAACACCAAGCCACTGCTGCAGAGCCGCAGTGCTGCGGTGGTGATGGCAGTGGCACAGCTCTACTTCCACCTGGCACCCAAGGCAGAGGTGGGCGTCATCGCCAAGGCACTAGTGCGCCTGTTGCGAAGCCACAGGTTGGTGACACCCCGCAGCGCCTCCTGACTCCCATACCCTGGCTGTTCTGTAGTCCTGGTTGTATTTCACCCTACTGCACCCTCCTCAACCCTCCTCAACCCTCCTCACCATTCCCATACTGCCCTGCATCCTGCCCTTCTCTTACTGGCTCTCTCCTTCCAACTATTTGACCCACTTGTCTTCCTCCCTATTTACTGCCCCTTGCCTCATCTGAGGGGCCCTGGTACCTCTCACCTGTCCTCTCTGCAGCGAGGTGCAGTACGTAGTACTCCAGAATGTGGCCACCATGTCCATCAAGCGCCGGGTGAGCATGCAATCTGAGCTGACTCTGCCTGGAAGGCTCCTGTGGGCTCTGGAGGCACTATTGCTGGCATAGGGCAAGATGGGGGATTGTTCTTGCTGTGCAAAGTGTGGGAAAGGGAAGATCCCCAAATGCAGGCTAGGAACAAGGCCTGGATCCTGAGGGACCACTGAGTGGGGATGCCCAGTGAAAAAAGAACAAGTCAGATCTGAGATGGGGAGGTGAAGACTTGGGAAGGGGAGGGCAGTGGTGAAGCTGGAAGGGTAGTAGGCTCAGTGTCAGGAGGGGAGGGTGGCTCTGGAAGAGTCAGGCCTGGGGATGGGCTGAAACTCCCTGGGGATGCTCTCTTGTACCAGGGTATGTTTGAGCCTTACCTGAAGAGCTTCTACATCAGGTCCACTGATCCCACCCAGATTAAGATCCTAAAGGTGAGTGATGGGCCAAGTGCAGTTGGCCTCTCTAGACCCTCCCTATTACCTCTTCATTCCCACATACTCATTCAAACAGCTGACAGTGGCCACCTTGGTGGTGACCTGTTTCTGGGGCTAAGTCTAGGGCTTCCTATACCGCAGCTGTTTGCTCTGGGAGCCAAAGAGAAGGGGACTGCCCTTTCCCTACTATGCACAAGTTACTCTTCACATAAGAAGTAACTTGATTTTAATAACAACCCTATAAAGTATACATAACCTCCATTTTATAAAAACATAGACTCCGGGAAATGTAGTAACTGCCCCAAGGTCACAAAATTCTCCTGACTCCATACTTTTTCCACAGCAATTTTTTGCGTCACCCCTACGCCTGCTCCCCCCAGGCTTTTGTGCAAACAAACATGAACAGAAAGTGGCAGGAGCCTGAACCTCCATCCTATTCCTGCTCTGCTGTGTCATTATTGAGTGATTTCATTAATCCTCCTAACCCTTGGGAGCATCTACTATGTATTAGTCTTATTCCTAGATCTAGTGGATGTAGATGGAGCAAGCTAATCAGGGACCCTCCACTAGTGGATGGGTAGGGTCTCTGTCTACTGTGTCTGTTCGGAAAGAGGAGGAGACATTAAGTAGCTAATCATGAGACACATGGAAAAATCTGTTCCTGAAAGATAGTAAAGTGAGAAGAGGGTAGAAAATTATAAAATGTGGGGAAGGACTTTTTCTAGTTGTGTTAAGGAAGTTTCCCTTGAGAAGTTGAGACTTGAGCTGAGGCTTGAGAAATGAACATGGCTACCTAGGTAAATGCAGAGAAGAACTGTTCCAAACAAATGGAAGAGCATATACAAAAACCCTGAGGTAGAGAAGGGCATATAACTGGAGCATAGAGGACAAGGGGGAGAATAGTGGAAAAGGTGAGTCAGTAACAGTCAGATCCTTCAGGGACTTACAGACCTTAGTTTCTATCCTAATAGCAATAGGAAGATTTAAGTTTTCAAAGGAGGTAGGAGGTAACATGCTCATACTATAAATATACTCGTCAGAGAATCTATTTAAGAGGCAAACTGGACTTCTTGCATTTTGGACAAATTTTGTCATCTTTCAGTTTTCTCATTTACCTAAGCACGATGCAGGGCTGTCCTGAGAATTGTTTTCTGGTTTGGGAGGTGTGTTTGAAATGAAAACATGGAAACCCCACTGGCCACCCTGCCCACTTTCTTCTCCTCTACCCCTTCCTGCAGCTAGAAGTGTTGACTAACCTGGCCAATGAAACCAACATTCCTACTGTCCTACGGGAATTTCAGGTATGGTTCAGAGAGCAACTCCTATTCAGAGGGTCCCAGGAGGAGGTATCCTTTAATTCTTGTGCTCAGTGACAGTTGCCACAGTGGGTTATGCCTTTCCTATGAGCCCAAAGCTGGAAAAAGTGTTATCTTGGGTCCCCATTCCAATGTCTTCTGCTGACTTTGGGCTAAGGAAGGACTAGATGGGTATAGGGTTGGGACATCTCTCCCAAGATTAGTCTTTGGCATGATAAGCCATAAAATGAAAGATCAAAATCACCCTAAACTTGCAGAGTCATGAAGGGTTGCTACCTATGGAATGTTACTCTCTCACAATGTCCCACAGACTTACATTCGAAGCATGGACAAAGACTTTGTGGCAGCCACCATCCAGGCCATTGGGCGCTGTGCAACTAACATAGGCCGAGTTCGTGACACCTGCCTCAATGGTCTAGTGCAGCTTCTATCCAACCGTGATGGTCAGTGTTTGCCTGTCTAAGTGTCCAACTTTGATTATCAGTGTATGCCTGCATGTCTGACTCTGGCTAATGAGTATTCTCTATCTATCTAGGCACAATGTGTGTTCATTGGTCTGTCTGGCTCAGTTAGTGTCTGAGTATTCCTATATCTCTGAGAAGTATGGGGGTTGAGGACAAAAGCCAGTGCCATAAAGGCATTGCAGATGTGTCCATCTAGGTGTGGCGATATGATTATCCCTGGGCCCACATACTCATTCTCCTTCCCTAGAGCTTGTGGTCGCAGAGTCAGTGGTGGTCATTAAAAAGCTGCTTCAGATGCAGCCAGCACAGCATGGAGAGATCATCAAACACCTGGCAAAGCTCACAGACAACATCCAGGTGAGGGAGTAATCCCACGTTTCCCAATCCACCCCAATGTTGTCCCTATGATTTTAAGACCTTATAAACTAAATATTCTAGCCCTATAAAAACTCAACTCTGCAAACTTCCACATTGGCTCTAAAAGATCTTCAGGTAGAAGAAGGAGGCTGGATCATGTGATCCTTACCCTGTTGCCTAAGATTTGCCTCCTGTTGGGGATCCCTCACTGAGCTCCATAGCCTTTACCACCACTCTCATTTTCTCTCTAAAGCTTTGGCCAGGGATGGCTGACTGACAAATTCTGTGTTTCTCTGTGTCACTGCTGAGTTGAAAAATCCAAACATGACATTCCTGAAGAATAACATAGCAATAGAGTGATGAGGGACAATGAATCCCAAAAATCAGTCTTTTAAACCATGACTAACTTTGGGGTCTGAGTCTCTGCCCATTCTAATGAAACCCTAGGGAAGAGGGAAAGTGCTGTCCAGAAAATTCTTACCTCTAACCTCTCTTCCACCTGCCCCACTCCCACTTTCAGAGAACCCAGAAGACTATGTAGGCCAACACAAACAGGAGGGATGCCATTTCCTTAGCAGTCCCCATTGCCACTTTTACCCCAGTTCTAACTCCTCTCCTATGCCTACAGGTGCCCATGGCACGAGCCAGCATACTGTGGCTCATCGGAGAGTACTGTGAGCATGTCCCCAGGATGGCACCTGATGTTCTGAGAAAAATGGCCAAGTCATTCACAGCAGAGGAGGACATTGTTAAGCTACAGGTCATCAACCTGGCAGCCAAGCTTTACCTGACCAACTCTAAGCAGGTTAAAGACTCATACACACTCCTCCTATTTTCTAGTCCTCAGAAACTGCCTTAGGCAGTGTTCTTTTAGCATACCTCAGGCAGACTTGAACTATAGTCTCTGTTTGGGGAAAGGTGAATCAGGGGAGGTGGCTAGTCTTCCTAAATAACTAATGCTACTCCAGTATCCATTACTATTCTGGGGAATCAGGAGCCTGGTAGGGCTAGTGTTCACTGTGGAGAGGCTATCCTGTGAGACTGTGATTCATGTCTGCCAATAGAAGTGTCCCTATCTGCCACCTTTGGAACCCTGGGCTGTGAAGAACCACAGTTGATTGGAACTAATGAAAGGGGCCAGCAGTGACAGGCACTGATGGGGGATACATCCTTGGAAGTACAGGCTTTGCTTCTTCCCAAAGCTTGATGATACATGGCCAACCTGTGCTAGGGAAAAGGGAGTAAGTCACTGCTCAGGCTTGGGTGGTACTAGTGATTAACCTCATTCTCAAGGTGAAAGATTCTGAGGGTTACCATAGCCAAGGATGAGGTTTGACTAAAATGGAATATCAGGTGTCAAAAGATTCATGGGTGTCTAGCATTCCCTGAGATGGCTCCAGAGGGTTCTAAGAATAAAGTGTCATGGATAGATCTTTTTCAAGGTATTGGAGACACCAAACACCAGGAAAGTTCCTACCTTCACTATCCCATTCAGTTCATCAAGACAGGAATTGGCAAACTACTGCCCAATGGACCATGTCTTGTCTGCTGCCTGTTTTTGTAAATAAAATTTTGTTTTTGGAACACAGCCATGTTTGTTCAATATGTATTGTCAATGGCTGTTTTTATGCTACAGTGGCAGAGTCGATGAGTTGAAACTGTAGGCCCCCAAAGCCTATAATAGTTACTTTCTGGTCCTTTATAGAGAAAGTTTGTCAATCCTTGAAGCAAAATGTTTGGGTGAATGGGATCTACAGCAGGGCCATTCCCTGGAGACCGCAGCGTCCTAGCCAGGCCTGAAGGTGGCTTCTTATTCTGTGGGAATCTTTGGATGGTTGCACTTGGCTTCTTCACTAGCTCCTCTGATTCATGGTGACTATCATGAGACCAGGGACTCAAGTGAGGTACATAGAGTCCCCAAGTATTGGGATTCTTGTCAGAAGTCCAAAGGATAACATCTACACAGTTGTTGCTGCCATATGGAAGAAACAAAGTACTGCGTCTTGGTATTGTATGGAAGTAGATTAGAGAGAGAAAAGTTAGAGGGAGCACCCTGGGGAAGTATTCCATCAAATGTTTGTGTTATTTCTTTGTTCAGATGAGAGGAAGGAGCAGGTTGAAGGAACATTTGAAATGATGAAACTGGGCTGGGGATGTGGAGTGTAGCTCAGTGATAGAACATGTTTACATGCATAAGGCCCTGGTACACCCTCCCAAAGATGAAGTGGAAAGGGTGGGGAACTGCCCAGGTAGTAGGGGTGGAGGGAGTCTGACATGCCTAGGACTAAACCACAGTCCTGAGACCCAGGGACTAATCTATGGAGAGGTTGGCATGTTTTCATAAGCCTGGTCCTGTCCATATGATCATTGTCACTGCCATGTTGGATGGTGGCACTTGATTTCTGCGTCACTATTCTGATTCATGGTGACTAGCATGAGCCCCAGCCTCAAGCTGAGGTAGGAGGAACCATCAAGTCCTGGGACTCTTAAAAAGTTGTCACTATCAACTACATGTGCATTTGTTTGTTCGTTAATTTAACACACATTTCCTGAGTGCCTGCTATTTACCCAGCACTTAGCCATGTTCTGGGGGATTTGACAATGTATAGGACATGTTTACTAGCATCTAAACGCTCATAACTAAATAAGAGAAACAGCATAAAAATAAACATTTTAAATACAAAGTAGTAAGAATTACAGTCAGGGTTAATGCAGAGAGCTGTGGGTATATACAGCTAAACCCCTCTCCTAGGCAAGATATGAGGGATCCCATCCCCCACCAGGACACCCAGTATGTGCTGTTCAGGCAAATGACTCTGACCCCAAACTATGCTTCAGTTAAAGGTGGGTCTTCTCAGGCATAGGCCCCATAGAATAGGGGAGGACAGGGAGGCCTGTCCTTCTCCTTTCTTTCTTCCCAGCCTGTTCTGGAAGTGGTGGAGAATGGGGAATCTTTGCATACTAGGAGGCAGGCAGCTTGGATGTACACATGGCCATCCTTGCAATACAGCAATGATCCTTCCCTCATCCTGGTACCATAAATAACAGTCTGCCTCTGCTACAAGGCCAGAGCAATCCGAGTCATTCCTCCCTCCTTCCTGATTCTGCTGCATGCCATGTCCAGATCAGGCTGAGACCAAGAGGATTACCAAGATGGTGACTGTGTCCTATGATTCATTATAGATAATCAGGTTCTGTTACACACAGACTCAATAGATAAAAGTGACAGAGGGCTTGAGGGACTGGTAAAGAAAGTGGTTATTCAGCCACCTGGTTATAGCATGTGGGATAACTGCCTGGAATGCTTTTGGCAGGTGCTTTTATATGTCAGGTGAGTTGTTCATTTGTAAATTGTCCAATATTTTGAGACTGGGATTGTGGCTCAGTAGTAGAGCGTTGCCTGATATGTGTAAGGCACTAGGTTCAATTCTCAGCACCACATATAAATAAATGAATAAAATAAAGGTCTTAGCAACAACTAAAAAAATTTTTTTTAATAATTTTAAAAATTGTCTAATATTTTAATCTTTTCATTTCTGTTTTCTTCCAGTACTTCCATGTTTAGAAAGTTTTATTAATATTTATTTTTTAGTCTTAGGTGGACACAATATCTTTATTTTACTTTTATTTGGTGCTGAGGATCGAACCCAGTGCCTCATGCATGCTAGGGGAGTACTCTACCTCTGAGCCACAACCCCATCCCTAGAAAGTTTTTAATATTCACATATCAGTTATATTTTTCATTTACAATTTCCTCCAAACTTTTTTCTGGTTTCAAATTTTTAAATCCATTATATCAGTTTTCTACTGTTTCAGACAAGACAGGTTTATTTTCTCTCAGTTTCTAAACATCAGGGTCCATGAATGATTTTGTTAGGTCTTATGCAAGGCTACCATAGAGCCACACCCATATAGAATGTGTTTTCACTTAGAGGTTCTGGAGGGAAGGGTTCACTTTTAAGCTCAAATGGTAGCCAGTTTAGTTTCTCAAGGTTATAGGGCTGAGGCCCTGGCTTCTTGCTGGCAGTTAGCTGTGTTCACCCTTAGCTTCTGGAGGCTGCTGTCAACTACTTCCACATGAGCCTCCCAGTGTGACACTTTTTTCTTAAAAACCAGAACCTGGCTGCTAGCAAGACAGAGTCTTCTATCCCTGTCACCTTTGCTGCATTCTGTTTATCAGAAGCAAGTTCCAGGTCTTGCCTACACTAAGGTGAAGTAATTACACAAAGGTACAAATACTAGTAAGCAGGGACTGGTAGGAAAGACCACAAAGTCTGTGCGCCATACCCATATAGAATGTATTTTTGTGTAGTTTGTGAATTGAGGATGTGTTTTAATTTTTTTTGTTTTAATTTTAAATTGTTTTCGGAACTAGGGATTGAACCCAAAGGTACTTTATCAGTGAGCTACACATTTTTGTTTTTCATTTTGAGACAGGGTCTTGCTAAGTTGCTAAGGGTCTCAAGGAGTTGCTGAGGCTGGCCTTGAACCTGTGATTCTCCTGCCTGAGCCTTTATTTATTTATTTTTAATATTGAGAATTGAACCCAAGGCACTTTACCACTGAGCCAAATACCCAGTCCTGTTTTTATTTTTTAATTTTTATGTTGAGACAGGATCTCACTAAGTTGCTTAGGGCCTTGCTAAGTTGCTGAGGCTGATTTTGAACTTGCGATCCTCCTGCCTTGGTCACCTGAACCACTGGGATTATAGGCATGCACCATCATGCTTGGCTATTTTAGTAATTTTTTAGAAAACATTTATTTTTTTTAGCTGTAGACAATACTACCCTTATTTATTTATTTTTATGTGGTGCTGAGGATTGAACCCAGGGCCTTGCATGTGCTAGGCAAGTGTTCTACTGCTGAGCCACAACCCTAGCCCTATTTTAGTATTTTTTGTATGGTCAATTTTCACAGAATAATAAGTAGTTGCAAGGTGTATGTTAACATAGGTTATTGAAAGGAAGTCAGTGTTCCCCACTTCCATGGCAACTGGGGTCCATTGGTCAGTGGAAGACTTTTCTGTTCTTAAAAGTATATATCCTAGGTTCTCTTGAGCAGCCTTGTAATTCCCATACATCCTGGTGAGCTAAGGTGGGTGTCCTAATGGTGCAGATTAGATACCATAATCCCTGGAGAATAGGTTGTTAGGGTGGAGAAGGGTAATGAATTGTAATCAGCAGATCCTACAGTGAGAGGGTGGACCAGCCCCTTCTTATGTGGGTTGTTGACATGCAGTTAAGGCTGTGGACAGATGAATCCAAATCCCAAAACAATTCTTTCTAGAATGAGGCAAGGAATGAAGAGGATTTATGATAAGTCAGCTGGGAAGTCTGTGAAAGAGGATACCATCCTAAACTAAAAATAGGATCGACAGCATCTTGATAATGGACTACACAGATAAGGACATCTGCCATCCTTGGTTGGTCAAATAATGTCTGGCAAAAGGAGGGGCAGTCTATAATGAAATCCATTATGATATTGCCCTATTTTCATGTTTTAAGATCTATTGCATTAGGGGAGAGAATGAGATTAGAGATATTTATTTGTGACTAGAACTGTATTGCAGGCGCTGTTATGCTGGAAGGGACTGAGCTGAACATCAGGCCATCAAAGTCCCTGTGGGCTATGAGGTAGATTGGAGTGGAGTTACAGTGGTTCCCTAAAGTGATGTGGGGGGAATTCTGCCACAGCAGCTGCTCTCATTCTGGGTTAGCATCTAGGGGGCTCTGCCCCTCATGGACATCTGCCTGATAGCTCTGCTAGATTAGCTAGGTCAGCTGTATCCAAGTATGGATGTGACAATATGTCATCATAAATCTTAGCAAGACCAGAGTCAGTTCCAGGTTTCATCCTGCTGGTCCCCACTGCCCCCAGGAACTTTGGCTATTGACTCCTTGGTGTTTTTGATCTTGGTCACAGGAGATGGAGACATGGAGACCTAGGTCAGGGAAGCCCCCTTACGTCAACATATAAGCAAGGGGGAAGTGGGGCTCCAGTGGGACAGGTTTGAATGCAGAGCTGATGGGTTTCTCAACCTGGGAGGTCACCTAATGATTTTACTTCTTCTCTATAAAATAAGGCAGAAGGGCTGTAGAGACTACATGAGATAGTTGGAGTACATAGTACAGTGCCTAGTACCAGAAAGAACTCCATAAATGATGACCACTACCACTCTCGTTGTGTTAAGTAAGGCAGGTTAGATTAAGCCAAGACCAGGGCGGAAATTGAGACTTTAGGTCCTTGACTGCACACTATGAATTCCATGTGATCTCAGCAAACTCATAAGCAACTGCTGTTTGCTCTGATCTTATGACAGCCTTCCAGGAAAAGATTGGTGCCTCCAGGACCCCTAGGCTGCACTGAAACTTTTATGTGGGTTGACAGGGCAGGTAGGCAGCTCCTGCCAAAGTGATCTCCATTTATGCCCCCCTCTTTGTGTTGTTTACTTTTTCCATGGCTGGTGGAGCCTGGAAACCATGAGGTCTAGCAGAATGTTCCAGGCTTCCACTCACCCTGCTGCTCCAGAGTAGAGACTGAAGTGGAGGGGACCATAAACCTGAGGAAGAATGGAGTCTGGGGCCAAGAAACAATAGAGTCTAAAAGAGAAACCTCTCCAAGGTAGTTGTCATAGTTGGGGGTAGGAGTCAGAGCCAGAGAGATTAAATGAAACTGAAATGTGAAGCCTGGGGCCATGACAGATGGGGAGGAAAAGTTGGATGTGGGCAGGCCGTTGTAATTGAGGAGAGAAACTCTACTTGGAGATGTCAGCTGAAAGAAGCTGAATCAGAGCCTCCTGTGCTCCCATCCTTTCTGTTTGCTGCTGAGCCACCTCATCTTCTTCCTCCAGACCAAGCTGCTGACCCAATATGTGCTGAGTCTGGCCAAATATGACCAGAACTACGACATCCGAGACCGAGCACGCTTCACCCGGCAGCTCATTGTCCCTTCAGAGCAGGGTGGGGCCCTCAGCCGCCATGCCAAGAAGCTCTTCCTGGCACCCAAGCCAGCCCCAGTCTTGGAGTCATCCTTCAAAGGTAAAAGCAGAAATCAAGAGAAACTTCCCCAGGGGAAAGCTGGAATTGGCCAGGTCCCCAGCCCCAACCCTTCCCTGAGGTCCCAGCCTTAGGATTCTGTGGGCAGAACTTCAGGTAAATGCCAGTCCTGGCCCTGGATTACCTCTTTTACCCACTCACAACCACCAGATATATCATCTCACCTGAGTGTATGCCCTCAGGATGGGGTTCTGAATCCTCTCAGGCTCCCTTTCTGCCCTTCTTGAGTATGCTGAAGGCTTGAGAATCTATATTCAGAAGCTAAATACCAAAGACACAGGAAGGCAGGAAGAAAAACAGCATACAAGAGAGAGGTGTATATTTATAAGGGGTTCTGAGATGTAGTTGCCAGAACTGTACATAATAATTCGAGATCAGCCCAGATCTCTGGCCCCAGGCCTTCAGCTTGACTCTGTTCATGGGTTTGGTCTGGGAAGGGTCCTCCAGCTGCCTCTCAGGGACTGAATTCAAGAGGGCAGTAGTCCCTTTCTGCCCCAACACTTGGCTCATTCATAGGTCTCTGAGTTGACTTCCTACACCAGCTGCCCTACCTCTGACTCAAACTCCTTTCCACTCCCATTCTGGCTGCTCAGCTCTCCCCACTGTGTCCAGAGCTAAACCAGACATGCCTCCTCCCCCTTGGCCCAGCCTGACCAGCCTCTTATTCACAGCTGTCAGACAGTTTATCCCACTTTGGCCTCCCTTTAAAGCCTGGCTTTGCCCTGAAAGTGAAGTCATACTCTCCCTTCTGCTTCCCCACAGAGAAGATCCAAACAGACAGGCCAGCAGCATCTCTGGGCCCAGAGTTTCCTTCTGCCTGCTTCTGCAGGTCCACCTGTAGCAATCCTCAGTCCCTCGACTGGCCTGGCTGGCAGCTTTTTCTTCCAGCATGTGGGCCTGAAGGTGCAATTAGAGTGCTGAAGCCATTAGAGGACACATCCATTTCCTTCTCCTACATAGCTAGGGAGTCCTGACTAGAATCACCACGTAGTCCCAGTAGAAGACAATTCCTAAGTCATTCCTAGTTTCCACTTCTGATTTCTAAACTTGTTTCCAGACCGGGACCACTTCCAACTGGGCTCACTATCCCACCTGCTCAATGCCAAGGCCACAGGATACCAGGAGCTTCCAGACTGGCCAGAGGAAGCCCCTGACCCGTCTGTGCGCAATGTGGAGGTCAGCGAGGTCGAAGGTGGAATTGTATATGTGTGTATGTGTGAGGGAGAAAAAGAGAGAAAGAGATGGATTTGGGGGAGGCAGGCAGCAGGGAGTACTGACAGTGTTGGCCCAGTCCTCCTGATACCATCCCTATACACAGGAAGAAGACCTCTCCCTTATTGAGACCCACGTGGGCCTGTTGGGCGAATACACTGAGGTCCCCTCTGTGTGCTGTGTACTTTCCTTTCTGCCCCATACTGTACTCCCTGTCCTCATGTGCTATACCCCCAGCCTTCTCTACACTGTTTCTTCCTTGGGTTGAGCAGTATCCCTCTGTGGTTTGTGCCCATCTTCCCCATTACTCCCTTTTAGGGACAGGATCAGCCAGGGCCCCCAAAAGAGGTATGGTGAAGGGTCAAAAGAGCCTATACTTTCCTTTCCCCTCTCTGACAATGAGAAAATGACCCTCCATCCCACCCCCATCTCCAGGTACCTGAATGGACCAAGTGCTCAAACCGGGAGAAAAGGAAGGAGAAGGAAAAGCCCTTCTACTCAGACTCTGAGGGGGAATCTGGCCCCACAGAGTCTGCAGACAGTGGTGAGGAGACAGGCAGAGCTGGAGTCCTCTGTGCTTCTGCCCACATGCATGCCTGTGTGTTCGAGGGAACTCTGTGTGTGTATTTGTATGGTCAGTGACCTAGGGGTGTGTACCTGCTTGTATTTTTGTGCACCTAAGGGATTCATTTCCATATATGTATGTGCTTATAAATAGCAGCATCTATTCATATGTGTCTACCCTTGTCAATTCCAATTGGCATCTGGGGCTGGGAGCAGGTCAGAGGGTTTTAAGGCTTCAGAGCTGAGTCTAAAGCTGGGAACGTAGGCACCTGCTTTGGACCTAGGGAGGCCTGCATATGAAGGAGAGAGACCTAATACCATTTCTCCACAGAGCCTGAATCTGAGAGTGAATCGGACAGTAAGAGCAGCAGTGAGAGTGGCTCTGGGGAGTCTAGCAGTGAGTCTGACAATGAAGACCAGGATGAGGATGAGGACAAAGGGAGAGGCAGTGAGAGGTAAGAGGAGAATGAGTTTCCCCTGGATATAAAAAGCTTATGCTTAGCTTTAGTCAGCCTCCTATGAGGTCCTGAGCTCCTCATGAGTGCTGGGGGCCAGCAGACCACCCATGGGTCAACTCACATGCTGGTTGCTTTGGTCAGCTGCAGAAAGCCTCTGAGACCTCATGGAAATGGTAAGAAGCAATCAGAGCCTTAACTGGTAAGGGTGGTTTAAAACTCTTATAGGGGCCAGACATAGGAGCCCAAGTATGGGTTCTACTGACCCAGATTCCCCGGCTCCCTGCCATTTTTCAGGACTTCCTCTGCTCTTCTATGAGGCAAGAAGGGGGTATCCAGGCTGGACCTGAGGCCTGTTTTCCCCCTCTCTCCTCCAGTGAACAGAGTGAGGAGGAAGGTGAGAAGAAGAAGAGAAAGAAGAGGAAGAAGTTGCCAGAGGGACATGGAGAAGACTCATCCTCAGATGAGGACAGTGATTCCAGCAGTAGCTCCTCAGAGTCCGAGGTGACTTCAGAGTCTGAGGAGGAGCAAGATGAACCTGCCTCCTGGAAGAGGAAAACAGTGAGGGCCTTACCAATGTTCTCCCTACCCTCTGGACCAGACCCTAACATCTCCTGTTATCTGAAACAGGCCATGCTCTTTCACTCAACCCATTACAGACCAGGGTGCTTCCCTTCCTCACACTCACAATCTATTTTTCTCTTTTAGCCTCCCAGCAGCAAAAGTGCCCCAGCAGCCAAGGAGATCTCCTTGCTTGATCTAGAGGACTGTGAGTTTGGGTGTTGGAAGTCACATCAGGGAGGAGGTCAAGGGATACAGAGCCACTTAAGCTCTGAATCAAGTTCCTAAGGTCTGGGGTGGGTGAGCATTTTCCTCCAGGCTGCCATGTGTATCACTGTTCATGGTGCCAAATGATTGCTTCTTGCACTCTGGGCTCCCCATTCAACCCAAGCCAACTTTGCCTCTGCCTCATCATAATCTTATGTCTCCCACAGTCACCCCTCCCAGCATCCAGCCTGTGTCTCCTCCCACGGTTGTGTCCACTAGTCTGGCTGCTGACCTGGAGGGCCTGACACTCACAGACTCCTCTCTGGTACCTTCGGTGAGTAGGACTGGAGAGGGACTGAGCTGAGGGAAGGGACCCATCTCCATGATGCATCCTGTGGTGTGAATTTGTATGTGAGAGGAGATATGATAGAGGGGATAGCTTTGACTCCCATTTGCAGGATGGCCCTTGGTAGGGGCAAGGCTGGGACAGACTCTTTTCTTCCTCCTCCACCACTCTAGCTGCTGAGTCCAGTGCCGGGTGTTGGCAGACAAGAGCTGCTGCACAGAGTAGCTGGCGAGGGGCTGGCTGTGGACTATGCCTTCAGCCGCCAACCTTTCTCCGGGGATCCCCACATGGTGTCTGTGCACATCTACTTCTCCAACAGCTCTGAGACTCCCATCAAGGGCCTACATGTGGGCACCCCCAAACTGCCTGCTGGCATCAGCATCCAAGAATTTCCAGAAATTGGTACAGAAGGGCTTTGCAGAGGAAGGAGGAGGAGGCTTCTGGGCAGAGACAGTCTTTTTGTGGTTGATAATTTTTGGGACAAGCAAGGGGCCTGGCTATGGGGACACAGTGATTGTATCTAACATGATCCATAATGTGGTGGATGAGATAGATTAGGAAACAAGCAAGTTTGTATAAGGGCAGGAAGTACTTGCAGCAGAAGATTAAAGCCTTGGTTGCTTTATAACTGAATTAAATGGGCTGAAGGTAGGTGAGGGAAGACATTTAGATACAAGGAGGAAACTAGAGATGATCTGCAGGGACCCAGAAATCTAGGATTCCATAGAGAACTGGTCGGCTCTGACTGGGAGGGGAGAATGGGGCTTGACTGGGCTCCAAGCCTATCAGGTAATGGTGTCTCCACTCCCCCTTTCCCTTCCTCACATCACTCAGAGTCGCTGGCACCTGGAGAATCTGCCACTGCTATAATGGGCATTAATTTCTGTGACTCAACCCAGGCAGCCAACTTCCAGCTGTGGTATGTGTCCAACTCATATAGGGATGGAAGGGTGGGCTGGAAAGAAGCAACATCAAAGTGAATCAGAGATGGAGGTGGGGGTAGGTGGGGCTACATCAGGATTGGGTGGGTCTGGCAGCCATCTGAAGCCCTGAGTGAGGTCTGACCTCTCTCTTCTGTTGCCTTCACATCCTGCCTCTGAGGGAGTGGGGTGGATGGGTGAGGGGGAAAGATGCTAGCCTCACTTCTTCTCTCTTTCCACTCTTCCCAGCACCCAAACCCGACAGTTCTACGTCTCCATTCAGCCACCTGTTGGGGAGCTTATGGCCCCTGTATTCATGAGTGAGAATGAATTCAAGAAGGAGCAGGGTAAGCAAGCACTCCCTGGGAGTGAGGAAAGAGGAGCTCAGCACCACCCACTACTGTTAAGTTCCACAGTTCAGACGTGTGAGGAAAATCTCAGCTCCCTCAAACAGAGACCTTATAATTTGTGCCTCTAAAAAAGCCTTTACAGATACTGAGGCATTTTGGTGAGGCTTTGGAAAGACTCAGCCAGGCAGAAACATCTAGGACCTCATCCCAGGTGGGGAAACAGCACATGCAGAACTGTGGTGTTGAGTGTTGGGGGCAGATTGGTTTGGGGCATAGAAGTCCCTGGCATAAAGGATTAGTAAAAACAAAGCTAAAAAGCAATATGTGTTTGGTTTCTAATTTTTAGGAATTTCGAATGCCATGCTAAAGGATTGCAGTTCTAGAATTTTGGAGTTGAAAGTAGTCCTAGAGAGATATGACTGCAGACTTTATTTTCCTAGTAGTAGAGAAGTCACTGAAGGAAGGTGCAGGTTCAATCCTTGGCTTTAAAAGAGAAATCTGACAGTACTAGCAGCTAGGATTGGAAGAGCCTGTAGAGAAAAAAAAAAAAAAAAAAGAGGCAGCCCAGCACAGATGAGGGAAATAAGGGGCTTCATGAGCCCTAGCTATTATTTCTGAACTTCTGTTCTCTTGGTGTACAATCTTGGGCTAAATTCTGTAACTATACAGTTATTGCAGTAGATCAGATGAGAGATGGTAAGGCAAGGGTCAGAGCTATGGCAAAGAGAAAGAAGGCCTGGGGGTGAATGTTGAGATTGGGAAGAGAGAAGCCATGGGTAGCTGAGAGGGAGGAGAGGTGATATATTAGCATATTCTAGAATTTCTGGCTTGGATAGTAGGAAGATAAGTAATGCCCTTCATCTAGAACAGGGTTTGGTGAATTTTTTCTGTAATGGATCATAAAGTAACTGTTTCAGGCTTTCAGGGTTATGTGGTCTCTGTTTCAGTTATTCAGCTTTGCTGTTGTAACACACAAATAGCCATAGACAAGATATAAATGAATGATTGTGGCAGTATTCCAATAACATCTCACTTACAGATATTGAAATTTCAAGTTTATTTAATTTTCATGTGTCACAAAATACTAATATTCTTTTGACTTTTTCTCCCAATATTTCAAAAACATAGACACCATTGTGGGCCTTATAGGTGGTGGCTGATTTGGCCTAGAGGCTATAGTTTGACCAACGTCTGATCTAGAAGAAAGAACAGATTGAGCAAGGCAGGAGGAAAGATCATGGTTAGTTTTGTGAAAGCTAATTTTGAAGTGCATTTGGGAAGTTCAAGAGGAGTCAGTATGCCACTGAACATGGGGGTCTGTGTCCAGGAAACACTTAAATCCTGGAGTCATGAGCATAGAGGCCACAATGGAAGCTGTGAGTATGGATGAGATCACCCTGGCAGAGAGAGTTGGGGAGAGGTGATAAGAAGCCAAGGATAGAACCTTGAGGAAAATCTTTATTCTACAGATAAAAGGGAGGTGAATATGGGGGCTGGGATTGTGGCTCAGTGGTGGAGCACTCGCCTAGCATGAATGAGGCACTGGGTTTGATCCTCAGCACCACATAAATGTAAGGTGAAGATATTGTGTCCACTTAAATCTAAAAAAAAAAAAAAAAAAAAAACATATTAAAAAAATGACAGTGTGTACTCAGAACTTTAAAAAAAGTGTGGGGGGGGAGGTGAATAGGAAGAAGAGCAGAGGGAAGTAAGGGGGAGAATTAGGAGACATGATAAGACAGCAGTGTGCTTTGGGCTGGTCTACAGGCCATGATGACCAAAAACCTGCAGATCCAGCATCTAGAAGACCACTGTCATCCTCACAGAGAGCAAGTCACTACTAAAGGAATCCAGAAGCTAGTTGTAGTGGGTAGGAGGGAGACCAAGGCCTTGAGGTAATGAAGTCCTTTTTGGAAGAGTTTGGTCATGAATGAGGAAGAAGACAAGGAATTGGCATGATGAAGGTATTCTCTTCCAGAATAGTTTTTTAGAAATGGAGAGACTTGAACATGGACAGACTGAGGTACCATGGCAAGATATTAATAGCTAAGAATGGAAGGGGTGGAAGAAACAGGAGGGGCATGTCAGTTGTCTGAAGGAGAAGGATAATGGGATAGGGGAGAAACTGAAGAGCAGCCCTGTGGTATGCAGGAAGGCAGAGAAAGGTGTTCACAGTTGACCAAGAGCTTGTGAGTGAAGAGAGAGGTCACCCTGTAGAGTAAGAGGTTCTGGGGATGCTGTAAGGGTCTGGGGGTTTCAGGAACTGCTTTGGTAGAGGTTCAATTAAGGCACAATCTATGAGGCTTACATATGACTCCTGGACTCTGGTCAGGAGCCTAGCAACCACTGTCATCTCTTTGTGAGGGCTTAACCTCCAGGAGCTGGAAGAAGTTGACTGGATTGGAGAGTCACATCGGAAAGACCAAAAAGCGTGGGGTCCATGGTGGAAGAAACTTCTAGAACTGTCTGGCCCCCAGGTTTAGTGGCCACTCCCAAGGGACTTGAAGCCCAGATGTCTGACAGCAGGAGGCACCAACAGTCTTTAGTCAGCACCATAGATAAAGCCCTGAGTGGAGGCAGGGAGGCTAGGCCAGACACCAAGGGAAGTACCTCTTCCCCAAAGTCAAAGAGGGAGATGCTGAACTTCCCTTAGCATGAGCCCCGCCCAGCCTAGAAGAACTGAATAAGAATAATCAGCAAGCAGATGCAGGTGCCAGCATCAGTGCCCACTACAACTTCTGTCATCATCATGACCTCTACCCCTAGGAAAGCTGACTGGCATGAATGAGATCACAGAGAAACTCACGCTGCCAGATGCCTGTCGAAGTGACCACATAGTGGTACAGAAAGTGACTGCCACTGCCAACCTGGGTCGTGTTCCTTGCGGGACATCTGATGAGTATAGGTACCGGTAGAGGGGAAGTAAAGGGTTCTTGTGGGGTATGACTTAAAGGAGGGATCCCAAGCCCTAGAGATAAGACCTTTCCAAATACAGTCACCATTAGCAGCTCTTCCCCAACCCCTTTCTCTACTCCTATCTCAGGTTTGCAGGGAGGACACTGACCAGTGGGAGCCTGGTTCTGCTGACTCTGGATGCCCGGCCAACTGGAACTGCCCAGCTGATTGTCAACAGTGAGAAGATGGTAATTGGTACCATGCTGGTGAAGGATGTTATTCAAGCTCTCACCCAGTAACTCCCAAATGCTGTGATGCTGAGACCTCTTTGGTCCTCACATACCCTTCCTCCATGACATCTAAGCTATTAGTCCCTTTCTTTCTCTTTCTTTGTGTCCTATCAGCTTCCTCATGCCAGATAGCATCTGGAATGGGGTCTTCTCTCCCTCAGTAGTCTTTACTATGCCTTCCCCCAAACCCTTCCTCATGGGTTCCTCAGTGACCTGTGCAGAGGGAGACAGTATCTGCTGTCTTCAGCCCTTCCAGCTTTCTGTAGCTATTTGTATAGTAAAATCTCAATAAAATGTCTTCTCCCTAGATGTTGACTTACCTTTCCTTCTAAGAGTGGCTGGCCCTTGTGATCTTGTAAGGGAGGCTATGGTTGGATCCTCAAGGTGACCTTCTCTAGGTTAGGAGGGTATAGGCATCTTTGTGGAAGGACATCTGGGTAGAGATGAAGAAGCCAAACCAGAATTACTCTTTGGTCCTTCAGTGCAGAAGCAAGTCCTCTTCAGTGTTTGTCATGTCCCTTGGTTTCCTTCTTGGACCCTTGGGTAGAAAGGACTCATAATATGGGAAATTCCCTAAACAAAAGTGTGCAGCTCAAAATATGTCAAACTGCATCTGGATACAGAACCTGGAAGCCCCACCTGACTAGAGAGATGACTGAACTGGCCATCTTAGAAGGGAAAGAAAAGAAGATATAGAACCATGCTTCTCAAACTGCCTTGCATTAATCATTTGGAGGTCCTATTAACAAGCAGATTCTGATCAGTAGTTCATGGGTGGGGCCTAAGATTCTGCATTTCTAACAAGGTACCAGCTGCCAATGCTGCTGTTCTATGGTCACACTTGAGTAGTAATAATTAGAGCCTCCACACCTGTGACAAACCTGGTGGCCCTCCCTGACACATTTCCTGTTGCGAAGAGGTTGAGTAAACAATTAAGAAGCATTCCATTACCATATGTTCTGCCCCACCAAAAGAAAACAAACAAGAAAAAAAAGAAGAAAAAAGGTCTATGGTCAAATAAGTTTAGAATGAAGCATTAATTTAAATAAAATGAATTTAAGTGAATATTTCCATGCACCTTCTCTGAGCCTTTACTATGCTAATGTGCGTATGACCACCCCTCTCCCCAAAGTGGGGCTACAGTTTGCAGTATACCTAAGCCTGGCTTTGCCTTTGGAATATTTTTTCAATAGAACATTTTGGTTGACTGAGTTATAAGGAACACACACTCCAGTAACAGCTTGAGATGTGGTGCCTCAGCTTCTAATCCTCCATGACCAAGGCTCTAGGTCCTTGGCCATTCCTTCCCACATCCCTGTCATGTAAGTATCCCTGAGTCTGTATGTTCAGGGATAAGCCATGGTGAAGCAGATGTGAGCCTCCTCTTAAGAAGAGAGAAAAAAGCAGTGTCAGGGAACAGCCCTGCCTCTGACTCTGGGGAATTGATGGGCATAGTGGCACCAGAGAGCAGCTGGAGCTACTGCTTTCCTGAGAGCTTTGGGGCCCCACAGTCTCCCAAGGATCACTATTTTTGTAACTGAAGGTTCTGAGATGGGATTTGAATGGTGGACACTTTTTCACTTTTGCCTCTGAATTGGCACTAAGATGGTAGAGGAGATTTTTTTAAAGAAATGTGAACAAGGACCATTAGAGAATTCCTTATAGGTCTTTATTGTACACTCACCTTCAATTGTGATCTGTGGTAGCCAGTCTCCAAGATGGCCCCAGTGATTCTTGCTTCCTGGTATTGCACTCTTATGTCATTCCCTCCCACATTTTTATCAGAGTTGGTATGTGCACACAACAGAATACAAGTAATGGTATATCATTTCTAAGATTAGTTTATAAAAGGCATTGTGCCTTCATCTCAGTCTCACACCCTCTTTTCTCTGTGATCATTTGCTCTGGAGAAAGTCAACTGCCATGTCGTAGGCAGCCCAACAGAGAAGTCCAAGACAAGGAACTGAGGCCTTTGCCAGCACCCACTTGAATGAGCTTGGAAGCAGATCTTCCAATCCTAGGTAAAGCTGAAAATGCCTGTAGTTCTGGCTAACATGAGAGATCCTGAGCCAGAACCACCTAGCTTAGCCATTGTTAGATTCCTGACTCTCAGAAATGGTGAAATAATAAATTTTTATTGTTTTAAGCTACTTAGTCTCCAAACTGGCTATAATGTGTAATGGAGCAGCAATAAATAACTAATATAATCCAGCCTTCAACCCACCTCCAAGGATGTTGGAAAAATTCTCAGAAGGAGCTTGAGACTGCAATCTGCAGAGCAAGTACTTCCACTGTCAGTGTCTGAGTGGTGTGCTGGAGCTGGTTCATCTCGGCTCATGAGGCCAACAGTTATTACAGTTTTCAAGAATTTGTGAGCCGGATGACGTCACACTGGCAATTTGAAATCAGCCATGGTGAGAGTGTTTACATCAGGGAAAGAGTCAAATATTACAAACCAGTCCTCCTTCCCCCAGCCAATTATCATTTACCAGCATTTTATTGCCCTGGATGACTCCTACTCCTTGTAGCTTTGAAAAGTTATATTTTAAGTTTAAAGAATAAAATAACCACCTTTGTACTGATCACCCAATTTAAGACTGAAGCACTTATCAATCCAGTCAATACCCCCATCTCTCCACCCCACCCCCCACCATTTCATAAGCTCTTCCTTTCCCACCTGAACTAAATTATCATTCTGCATTTTTTGTTATCAATGCCATGAATTTATGAATGTGTTCATATATATATATATACTCACATATATATACATACATATATACTTTGTGATAGTAGTGTGCTGCATGTTTTAAATTTTTATATAAATAGCATCTTAAAATATGTACTTCCTGAATCTTTGCCTTTTTCACCCAATATCAAGACATGCTGATGTGATTAGCTTTATTTCTTTTATATATATGTGTGTGTGTATAATTTCATTGTATGATTATACCACCATTTATTGATCCACTCTCCTGTTGGTGGATATTTAAGTCTGTTAATTTGTTTTGTTTTTGCAACTATAACAAAATAGCTATGAGCATTTTTACTCATGTCTCTTTAAACACGTATGAAAGCTTCTTTCATGTATTTTCCTAGAAGTAGAATTGGTGGGTCACAGAGTAATACACCTTTTTAACTTAACTAGATAATGTCAAATTGCTCACCAGACTACTGTTTCAAGAATGTTTATTGAAGTTTTAATCATAATAGTCTCCAAACTGAAAACAATTCAAATTCTAAGGAGAATGGAGAAATAATTTCCATACAACAGAATACCACTTAGCAACATGGATGGATCCCACAGATATATTGAGTGAAGTTCATAATAGGCAAACAAGTCTGTGATGAGAGCAATAACAATTACCTCAAGTAATGAGGAGAGGCATGATAAAGCCCCAGGGGGTTGGTGATGGCTGGGTGGAAAAAGTCTAGTTCTTGATGTGAATGGTAGATACCTGAGTGTACATGTAGATAAGAAGTCACTGAAATTTACACTTAAGACACTCTACTATATGAGTATGGTATAAAAAGTGTGAAAAATAAAACACCAATGAATATGGCTGAACCAGTTTCCACCCTCACTAACAGTGATCCTGCTATTTAGGATAGTGAGACCTTTTCATTTCACCCACTTGAGCTACATGAAATCACATCCAATTATGGTTTCATTTGCATATCCCTGGTTATTGGTGAGGTTGGGCATCTGTTGACAGGTTATTTTCACTATCAATTGCCTGTTCTCGTCTTTTACCCATCTTTCTACAGAATTGTAATTTTTTCTGCATTTATCATAAAAGTTCTTAGGTAGCTGAGAAACTAGACATTTGCAAATATCTTCTAGTCTATGGCTTGCCTTTTCAAGTTTTAAATATTATCTCCCAATAAACTAAACATTTAAATTCCATTGTGGTCAAATTTATCATGTTCCTTTACATCTTCTTATAATTTCTAATTTATAATATTTATTCATAGGCTAAGGTAATAAAAATGTTCTTTTATTCTTTGAAAAAAATCCAAGCAAACTTTTCACAATTATATCTTTAACACCCTTTAAATTTACATTTGTGTATGATGAAAAGTGGGGTTGACCCACTGTCTTTTATTTCACTTAAAAGGACATAGGAGAATAAAAAGAGCATAGTTTCTTTTGGCAAAACCTGAGCAGAGATCATGTGTCTACTTTCTCTTGTGGTCTTGAGTTCCTAAGTGAATCCCCCTTCTTATCTTTTGCAACCAGAAATCACTTTCTCCCAGCAGTCTCCATTCTTCTTCCAGCTCTCTGCTGTGGAAGAAATGAACACCTGAGCATATAAGACTAAAGGTCAGGGCCTGGGGATAAAGCTAAGTGGCAAAGTGCTTGTCTAGCATTTGTGAAGTCCTGGGTTCTATTCAAACTATTCAAACAAAAACACAAATACACACACACACACACACACACACACACAGAAACTACTGTCCCCCTACAACATGTATTTAAAATTTAATCTGGCCAAATTCACAGTTATATTTGAAACCTGTATTATAAATCTGGGGCTTGACTGCAAAGATGTTGCTAGGTATAACTGGGCTCAAAGGATGTTTGTTGGCTGGGAGAATGGATAATGCTGACTATTCCTGCCAATGATCAGCTGTGCGGATTTGACCAAGTTATTTAATAGCTCTACCCTTGCTGCTTTCCCCATTCAGCCCTGTGGATAGTGGACACCTAGTCAGAGGGATAATCTTTCCTGTATGGCCGACAAGCCTAACTAGGTGAGTGAAGGATTCATCCAAACCTGAGTTATGACTATATTTGAACTTGGTCACCTCTTCCCTCACTATCTGCAGTGAGCTCTGAGGTCATTCACAGGGAGTGAAAGTGCTGGAAGTTTTGTTCTCATCAGCCTATGGAACTAGGACACTGCCTGGGTTTGGATGGGTGCTGTGCCACAGTTGGCTGGAGAGGCGGGGCGGTCCTTGGACAAGATACTTTTAATTTCTTTGAGCTTCAGTTTCTTCGTTTGCAAAATGAGTTAACATAGGTAAAGCACTTTGAGCTGTGTTTAGCAATAATGAGTGCTTAGTGAAGGTGATCTATTGTTACTTGCAACAGAAAGTTTAGGAAGAGGAATTTTAAGCAGCAGAAATTCCTGTTCCAAGTCACCTGAAAAAATGCCTTTACTTTTTAATGAGAGCTCTGAAATGTGAAAGAGCTCTCAGACACCTTCCTTTGGGCCCTCTTCCAGGTTTCATATTCTTATCTAACTCAACTTTGGAGTCACGTGGGAGGAT